GCCTTCAACTGGACATGCCATGGGAACAGGAGCGAACACATCTGCTTGATCTTCTGTGGAACTAAGCAACCGAGAGCTCCAACCCTGCTGCATATATTGTGGGAGCGTTTTTTCCAGCAGCCGTTGTCGAAACCATCCTGCAAATTCACCAGCATCATGCTGATCACGACTGGGATGGTCCCGAAACCGGTCCACAAGCATGCGGCCTAGGAACTGGTCTGCACATGGGTCCACAACTACCCCTGCATGCTCAACGAACATGCTCAAAAATTGTTTCTCCCATGCTCCCCAAATTGCTGTATTGAAGGTCAAGCTCATGAGGCTACTCCAGGTTTGGGCTAGCAGGACACTGTTGATGTAGCAAGTGCTGCCGGAGCCACCCAGTTTCGTCTCAAGGATGCCGGTCACGATCTCCTCAACCGTTGGGAGATGGCATTGGCGAGAGGTGAGCGTTGGAGGTTTGCTCCCCTGACTCGAAGGAGGATCAACTGTGTGATTCCATTTCCAGCAAGCTTCTGAAGAAGCTGGAAGAGTTCGGATGCCTCGGGAGACCTCAGGCTGAGGTCCAAGCGCCATGGGATTGCTGTCGTAGCATCTTGAGGCAGGGTGTCCTGCTTGACTGGCCGCAAGGCCGAGAACTTGTGAATCACTCCAGGTTGCTGGCCGAGATGTGCTATGCGTTCCAATAGGGCTCGAATTTCCTCCGAGGTCAGTGGTGGCATCCGATTGGGTTTGAGCATCATGGCTTGACTGTCCCAAGTGAGATAGGCCCATTTGCTGTCCTCGGTCAAGATGCCTTTGGACCTCAGGTTCTGAACTAAGGCGTCGTCGCTTGCATCGAGTTTCAAAAGTTGAGCTCTCTGTGCAAGCAGCTGAAAGCATTGCAGGAACATGTGCATCCTCAGCGGCATTTTGGCCTCTCCCTTCTCCTTGAGCTGGTTCCATTCTTTGGCATGGGTCAACAAAGTTGGCATGATGCTCCCTCTGCCACATTGGATGAAGAACATAAAGCTCTTGTCCAGCTGGAGTTGTGAGATAGCGTCCTCCTGCCTCAGAGTCAGGCGGGCAATCATACGAAGAAGGTCGTCGTTGCCTCCAGACAAAGTGGAGGCCGAGGATGGAAAGGATCTGGCTGCATGACCCTTGCCAGGTCTCTGTGTTCCATCCGTAGCAACCCGTGGTCGTTTGCCAACGTTCTGTGCGCATGCTTCGAGGAGATCCGTAAAGCTCTGATCGTCTGCAAATATCTCGTCGGCCATCGTATCGATTGAGGACGCCCCACAGTTGCCAATCTTGGGCCAATGTATGTTCAATCAAATGGAGAGCTTGATTGATGTCAGTCAACTGATCTTGAAGCTTTTCAGACAAAGTGGTAGGCGGAACTGTCACCGGTGTACAATCGCTTGAGTGCCAGGCCCATGTGAGCGGATGCAGTTCATGGAGAAAGGCCACAAAGTGAAAGAACGGGTCCTGTGGCAGGCTCGAGTGTGGTACATCAAAATGATGGGAGACCATGCAAATCATCTGGTGATACCATTTCAACTTGGCTTCCGGTGCAAAGGACAAGGCACGACTGAATGGATCCAGTGGCTGACAAACCAACGAGCAAGCAATGTCCGGAGTCCAGGGGTGCAGTTCCTCTGGTCGCCGGAGGCCTAAATGCCAAGGCAATCGAACCTGATCCGGAGCATGATTGGACTCTTCAATATCCATATTCTCTGGGGGCATAATTGGGACACCAAAATGCTGATGATGCTGATGACTGGTCCAATTGCAAAGCAACACCGGGCAAGAGGCTCGTTGGAAGTGAGTACGCAAGGCCACCTCCATTGTGAATTGAGTGTGACAATGCTTGCAGGCTAAATGACCCCTATGCATGTCATGGACACGATCGAAGGGGAAACCATCAGGCTTCTAGACATCATGATACTTCCGCAAGTGGCTAATGAGGGCTTTACGGCCTACATAGTCTTGACACAATGGGCATCGATACATCCTTGCCGGCTCCGGGCAGGGTCCATCTGGATGCGAGGCCAGCATCAGTTTCACAGTGACCTTGGCAGGGCGTGGTTCTGAACCCTAAGGGACAGAGGTGGATTGATCCAGCGGGCGATCCATCTAAGCATGCTTCGGGTGCTTTTGATAATGAGTGATCAAACCTTTCTCGGTCAGGAAGGTGGTGTGACATGCAAGACATTTGAACAAGGGGGTTGATCGATCAACATGACCAATCCCATCGGTGTCTGCATCCACTTCCATTGGAGTCGACTGAGTGTCCAATTGAGGCGGCAGGAGAGTGGCATCAGTGGGAGCTGTCTTCTTGGCCGCAGTTCCAAAACCTAAGGACGGTCGGTTGGTCTGTAGCGGACGCATCATAGTGGGCATGACAGGAAAATGCGAAACATCATACGTCTGGCCAAGCAAGATGCTAATCTGAAGCAAGACTCCACATTGATGTGTTCGTACATCATTGCATTGTTAAGCACACAAGACACATGTGCCCCTTGCCACTACCTAGATTTGCAAGACCATACACCTGGTCGCGATGTAATGCTTCATAGACCAAAAGACCTTGATGTCTTTCACCATAGTGTTTGCGTATGGATCGGGCAGGCACGGCAAGGTGACAAAAGATACAGTGGTGTGCAATTTCACAGACCAGGGCTTTATCCAGTAGAATACCTAGAATGGATTTGTAGCGCAAGTGCATGCGCAAGGACTGGCGGTCAGCAATCGGCACGATGGTTTCCTTGTGCGGATCAAACTAGAGACAAACTCTGGCATTAATATAATATCTAAGACGATATATATCTGCTAATTGCTTATGACAGTGTCTACATGTAGCCTTACCTTCATACGAATCACGCAGAGGATCAAACAAATCTTCAATATGGCAGGGAATTTAATGTGCTATACGCAAATGCCGTTTCCAGGGTCCTGCCTGATGAAAAGCTCGATCACACTCTGGACATTTGAGTTCAGGTGCCTGAGAAAACGAGGCTGAAGCCGAGGGTGTATGTTGCAATTGGTTAACAGGGTATGCTGGGGCCAAAGCACATATATCTTGCTGACCAGTCTGCATGGCTTCAAGGATCAGGGTGTCACGGCGTCGACTCAGAGAGTCGTTCAGACGAGTTTGCTGTCGAACAAAATAACACCAAGGAGGTTCAATGTGCATAGAGGTTCAATGTGCATACGAGCATAGAAGTCAATATTGGTTTCACGAGTCAGGTGCACAGGGGATCTGGCCATGGTCCTATGATGTTTGGTGATTAAGCCAGTGATCATCTAAAAGTTACGTGCAGAAATCCCCATCTCATGGATGCCATATGAGATTGGGGGTAAAACACATTGGTTGTACAACCGAAGACGAATTGTCAATGGATGATGCTAATCCAGGAGCCATTTCCTCAAGATGCGGAAGCAAACATTTGCAGCTTTGATTCTGCGAACGACTGCGTCATAATCGAATGCTCGATAGCTCAGTGTTACACCTAGATAATCTATCTTGCTGACAAGAGGAAAACTAAACGATGGATCTAGCAGGTGCAATCGAGGTCCTTCTTTTATTTTCGACGTCCATCGTTTCAAAAACGCCTAAGAGGACTTTCCCACAAGGCGCATAATAGCAACACTTTTGGTCAGATTAATCCGGAAATGGAAGGCCTTAAGTGTACCCAATACCACTGCTAATTCATACAGGGCCGACAGACCCGAGGCAGTACTTTCGATGATCCATCTAAGGTGGATGTCGTCTACATAGATGACGATGTGGGAAGTGATCCAATGCAAATCGAAACTGGCCATCAAGTGGTCGAGGATCAGGTACATACTCAAGGTCCAAAGCAAAGGGGCATCTTTGGACCCCTACTTAATACCCCGGCTGGCGGTGACGTGTCCAATTAAATCCTTGTGTGGGATGCAGTACTTATGTTTATGCTGCCATGACTAAACAAGGAGTTAAAGGTCAGGGTTCATCTCGAATCTTTGGATGGCACGAAGAACTAAGTGTCTATCAATAGCATCAAAAGCCTTTTCTAGATCGAGTGAGACCTGGAGGCCACCCCACAAACCAGACTTTAAAGGATCACTCTTGTGGTGCTGGCACAATGCTTTGACGATATCTATATTGTTAAATGTATTAGTAATATTGATAATTTTAATTCTTCAATATATTATTCCAAAAATCAAATCAATATTAATAATTAAAACGCATCCGCCGATCCTTTTTGATGTAAAAAAAGATTTCAATGATCCATTATATTTTTTGTATTATATTGTAGTATATATCTGCATCGATGTTATTTTGGTCCATAGTAAAAATGTAAATGATGCAAAACGTCAAGAAATGTATAACCTGCATTATGTATTGAAATCCTCAAGAACAGAATGCGCCATGGCCAGTAAGGCTCCGAGTGTCCAACCTGTTGATTTAAGAAACCAAATATATTAACCCATTAAGAGAAATCTAAGCAAAGACCTCCTCTTAACTAAAGTCAATCCAGGGACCCCCAGCACGCAAAGAACACAAAGGGTCATTGTTGGTTCTTCCTATAAACCTACTGTGCTTTCGAAGGAAGTAGACTTCCAATGGACCAAGCAGGCATTTTTGGTCCTGCACATCCCATTGAACACGCACAAGAGCAACACCTCCTTTTGTAGAATTCGCGCTGCCAAGAATATCCTCCGCCAATGACTCTATACTTGCAACAAGCAGCATCTGAAAATAAGATATTCTTCGGGACTGTCTGGCTACTTGGTGGAATTGAGATGTATAAGGGACCGGTCCAACATACTTTTCTCATCCGACCTTTGCCGTGTATAACTGCGTTTCGCTTGCTCCCAAACAGGACATCTGAATGCCAAAGGAGACCCCCGTAATTGAACCCCTGCATTTTTCCTCAACCATGAAGGAACTGAATATTCCTCCATTATCTTTATGTTCAATGTATTGTATCAACTTTACACCCAAATAAAGACGATTATATATATATATGTCTGCGGAAAAAACACCAACAATTAAGGAACATTGTTCCGTCAATCTTGAAACTCCGAAGCACCCTGAAGCAACCATTCTGTGTGTCGCTTTTTATTGGTTTTGGATGGTTGATTTATGGAGTTGCTCCGACCGTCTTGGTCAAAGCAGGCAATGAACCCCTGGCGAGCCGGACGCGCGGTGAACACCCAGTGTCATTCCGGACATTTGCTGCAACGCGCCTAGGTTGCAATAGCCCTTACACAATGAAAATTCCCTGGAACATCAGACTCCCTAAACGAAAATGAATGAACGTTTCGTGTCGGTTTTTTTCAGGCTAGGGGCATCTAATCAGTCCATGTCTATAACTCGTCCATCACTGGAGCCATTTCCTCAAGGAGCTTTCCTCCGTCACCGAGCTCTTTCCTCCGTCTCTGGGTCTGAGGATGTCTGAGGTCTGCCCGGTGAGCTGAGCTCAGGTCTTGTGAGGCAACACCCGACGTGTGTCGGGGCAAGCTGATGTATCTCCGATCTGTGCAACATGAGCTGACCTCAAAGAAGACCCGGGAAGTTGAAGTGGATCTTCACAGTTTTCCATGCAATCCCCGGCCTGTTTTCGACCAACCCCTGGCAGAAACAGGAACAGAACATGGGAGTGATGAGTGGGCTGAAACCGATCACGAATCGGAACTATTGGCACCCACGGTCAAAGTTCTACAAGGGGCTTTCCAATCTTTCCACCCTTGATATCCCGCACCATCCGACCTTTTGTTCTTGTTCTACTCAATGGGTCTCCTTCAATTGGGGTTCAATGAGGACCACTAAATCTCAATGTGATGAGATGGACCATGAAGGTGGCCCTTTCATTTATCCAGGAACATCTTCGCCTGATCTCCGAATCTTCAGGTGAGTCAGTGGAAATGTTCCAAAGATATTAGTTCCCCCAACTCACCCTGCAAAAAAAATCAAGGATTACAATGACTGGAATGCATACGACAACCGCTTGTGATGCGTTTGGTCTTGCAACTCATCACCAACAACAACAGTCAAGAGAGGTTTTTCACAGCCCAATCATGCCCTTCCATGTGATCCGTAAGATTCCACATGTACCAGTACAAAGCCCTTTTCAGGTCCCTCTACCTCTCTTGATTTTGCCTCCTCCTCCCCTGTGGGTGCAGACGCTTTCATCGGCCTTGGGGGTTGACTTCCATCGGCCGGACGCGGGGATTTCAAGGGCAAACGCTCCTTGGCGCCGCGTGGCCGTGGGAAGATCTGGAGCCCGGAGGATTGGAGTCCCCTCTTCACCAGGGCTGCTCTCGCCCCGGTGAAGTCACTAATCATTCGTACTGACTTAAACAGGATGTAGACATGGCGCCGCGTGGCGTGCGCCGTGCTGATTCGTGCTTTTTGTTGCTGAAAGCGTTCGCCGTGCAGAGTGGAATTTCCAAAGTATGCTGCAAGGTATATGCTTCACCCATGGCCATGCCCAAACGCGCTGGAATCCAAGCGAAACAACTGCACAACTCGAAGAAAAGGTGTTGAAAGCTGCTTTCGCGTTACAATTCCTGTTCTTGGTTCGTCTTAGTCTTACTTCATCTTTTTTGAAGTCCCTTCTTGCCCTCCTTGGTGTGTTGTGGTTTCTTGGTGGGCCGGGACGAGCGAATGGTGGGTGGCTCCCATCTTCCCAGTGGGATGGACCCAGGAAGAACATGAGACAAACCAACCGGGAGGATCTGATCGTCTTGTTACAAAGAGTCTTGTTCTGAAGGCTTGATGGTTGGACAAAGCTTGAAATTGGGCTCATAACTGTTAACTATCTTGAAAGACAGTCTTAGCTCCGAAATCGGCCTCCATCGCCACGAAAAAAATCCTTCGGCTGTTTGTCAAACCGAGCGGCGGTCAACGCGACCTTTCGATGTGTCTCTTGAATGCCCCGGGTGAGCCCCTTCCAGTACTCCTGGCGAAGCAGGAATTTCTTCTGTGCCTCGCCCCGGTGCGTGCGGAGAAACATCCAACTTTCTTTGTGCTCAGTTCACAGGCAAAGTCCACAAAAACTGGGTTTGCTTCGGCCCATTGATGTTGGAAGCTTCTCAGGGTTGGGTGATGTTAGGTGATGTTTACGCTGGTGGCTGAATCACATGGGATGCCTCCATCTCATGGCGACGCACACAAAGCCTATCCTTTCCGACCCAACGACCCTTGGAACCCCAGGACCGGACCCATCTGGGGATCCAATCTTTAAGCTGCGTCATTCTCCCCCAACGATGCCGATCATCTGAGACGCGCCGCCTTTTTTCACGGCACGACCGTCAGTCCTGCGTGAGGTCGACCGTGCCACAAAGGCTGGACACCTGCTCCTGTGGACGCAAATGGCCGGAGCCGTGGGAACAAACGGTGCTGTGCCGACAGGTGCCCAAGGTGTTTCACTGGGGTGGTGAGGGGCGGTGAAAGGGGTCTTAAAGGTTATTTTTGAAGGGCTGGAATATTTTTGTCCATCTATGTATATATATATATATCTATAGTGCTGTGCACTTTGGATATCCACGTGTGGATGAACGAAAAATGAAAACCTGTTTGGGGTTTTGATGGGTTTTGGTCAGATGTATTGTGGGAACACATGCACGTAGCTCTGCAGTTACCACCATTGAGAGGTGCTGACACATTGACTGCCAATGAAGAGGAAAGATTAGTCATAGGAAATATTTTGTTGTATATGAAATATACTATGTGTCATAAGTGTTTTATTCCTTGTCTTACTGTTCATTGTGTAGACGACCAAAGCACTAATAACTAATAGCCACCACAAGTGTTTAACAAAACATTCACATCAAAGCCTTGCGATGAGGAAAAACACATCCAAAACTAGGTCCTCGGACGAGACAGTTTCGCAGGAATGGTTTGATGAGTGTTGCCACATCACATGGAGAGGAGTTCCCATTCTTCTGAGGTTGCTGTTGGAAGAACTCCTGCACCGTAGGGAAAACCAATCGATTTACAATGCCTTCAGGGCTACAGGATTTCTCCAACAGCGGAAGACTTGTCCATCAGTGCCCTCCAGTCCCACACAAAGCAAAAGCAACCCTCAGTCGTAGCCTTCCTTCCAGGTGGGTTGCCACATGTGATCCAAATTGGAAAGCATTACAGGCCTGGCCATGGCACTCCAAGACCTTGGGTCAAGTCACCAACATGGACCGTCTAGTAAAAAGAGGTCAGCCGGCACCCCGGCGGCTACACCCCTCATGGGCGATCGGCTGGAAGCTTGACTTTCGACATCTGACCCACACAAACAAACACAACCACAAAACAATAATGCAATACAATACAAGAACCAACTTTGGCAACAGGTCTTTGGCTCTGGCATGTGCGAGTACACGCTTGACTTTCGACCAACAAAAACACAAGCACCAGATCCAAACTGTCACATGGCACCCACCAGATCCATCCGAAGCACCATCCGCCTGAGTGCCGGAGATCTTTTGCTCCAGTGCTCGCAAGGTCTGCGAGCAGCTTTCCTCAAGAACGACGGAGTGTGAGCAGCTGAATGCTCACGCTGCTTGATGCTCACGCTGCTCAGTTATGCAGCGAACCTCCAAGTGACCTTCCAACCACCAGTGACAAGAAGTCAGACTGAAATATCAGCCCGAATGAAGAGAGTGACTGTGTGTGTTTGCTCTTGGCCAAACACACTCGAAGCACCGTGTATCACGGCAACGGGGGGCTCCAAACACGTTCTTGTTTGGTAAGTGGAGAAACCTATGTGGTCCCTCTAGTTCCCTCGGTTGAACGGGGAACATGCAGAGAGATTACCACAGCCAGTTTCGAGTCACTGCAGTATTGAGTCATTGTTCTGCCCCAGTCAGAATGTCCCAGATCGTCTTGCATAAACTGTTCCGCGGAAATGTCCTGGAAGGGACTGATGATGGGATGATGGTTGGTTGAGAGCAGGGCATCTTGAAAAGAAAGTGCGAAGGTTCACACAACGAGAATCAACCTGTCATAAATACTAATTACCAATACTCACATCTGTCAAGTTACTGGTGTTTGACCACAGGCGGCCACTGGTTGGCACCTTCGGCCACAGCGGCCCTCGATCACCTTTCACCGGAGCTTCGATGCTGAGACCTTGCTGAGCCAGGGAATCCCGGAGCTGTAAGGTCTCCTGGTTTCGGTCTGACTTCGCTATGACTTCGCTCCGAGCGGCTCGAGTGATCGAAACGACACGTGGGTCCCAAGTGGTGGAACAACGAGTGAGAACGAGTCCCAACCAGTCTCTTGGGTCTGGAAAGGGGTGCGGAAGCCGACTATGACTATGAGGGGCGATGCGTAGGATTGGCGCTTACGAAGACGGCCCAACAAACAACATGACAGGGGTAATCATGTACACAAAGCTAGACGTGGAAGTGGTACTGGTGGCTTGTGATTCTCACATTCTCACCATCTTCAGCTCCTGCAGCAAGTCTTTAAGTTCAATGTTTAGAGGACAACAGCTCAACAGGTGTTGAAGTTGCAATGCCCGTTGGCAGTTGCACATGCACACCGGGGGACGCTTCGGCTTTCGCCCAAACTGCCAAAAATCAAAGCTTTGTATAACTAGAAGGACCCTTAAGAAATTGTCACTCAGTGATTGGTCGCCCTTTTCGCCACCACACCTGGTGTATTTTGCTCCAAGAGCCCCTATCATCCCTGCCTGACAGGTCAGTCGCTAAATCTCAAGATCGTGGATCATGGCACCAAGAATGGAGAACTTCCAGCAGGTGGCCTAGGGCCTAGGGCCTTACGGTAGGGAACTCAGTCTTGATCCACAGCCAGTTCAACCGTTCAACCTGGGGTCTTTCCAGTTCCATCCGTTCGCAATCCGCTAGGTGGAGGACTCAACTTACAAGGGTATCTGCAGTGTTGGTATCACTGTTGTGGGCCCAAGCAACATGAGTTCGGATAAATCTCCTGAATTCCGTTAAGCCTTAAGCCTGCTCGTGACCGGACCTGCCTTCTTTCGTGGAACCCCTGCGCCCGGAGTCCGGGTCCTCTTCTTGGAGCACCAGCTTTGCCAAGCACTCGGCATCCCTCGGAACGTCCGTGTTGGTATAAGTCGGCCGATTCTCAGAACGGTTCATGCACAAGGACTTTCAGGACTTCATACATTTGGCCTTAAACTGGTCTGTCTGGTGGTTTTTTGGAATTGAGGGGCCATTGATGAGGAAATCTTGGATTTCTACTACTACAGTGACAGGGGTTGCCCTGGGCAATGTGCAGCTTCTATACTGAAGTCCAACTGCGAAACCAACGCAAGTTACCATTGATTCTGATTTTGCTTTGTGCCCGCAATACAACCAATTCCGCAAAAGATGTGCACAAAACCCGCCCAAATGAGGTGGGATGCTGGCACCTACAAGTAAGGTGTCTTCCTACCTCCACACTCACATGGTGACAAAAATGCCGTTGGCCCTCCAGTGGATCCAAAACCTCCAGAACCAACTTCAGAACCTGACAACTTGATCATCCCCACCGTCTGTTCATCACTCTGAAATCGGCCAATTTCAGTCAGCAAGGGATGCGAAACTGCTTGCGGCAGAGGAGCCCCCTGGTCCTGGCATCCACCTCCTTGCGAAACTCCTCTTGGTCGCGCTTCCTTGGTCAAATGGAAGGAGTTCAGTAGCTGGCTCTTCCCAGTGCTGAACAGTTCCCAGGTCTTTGCTTCATGGAACTCAAGTTCGAGGGTCAAAACGAGCTCATCCCGCCAAGATCGTGGGACTGGAAGACGCTCTCGGGCTCTCATGGAACTCGCCGCAAAAAAAAACGCTACATGCCGTCAGCTGAGACACGACCTTCGCTTGACACGACCTTCGCCAAGGACCACTTGCCAGGTGCCCGGTAGATCTACTAGTAGCTCTTGCGTTCGGAACAAAGGATTTGACTCAACTTCAGGACCTTCAGACCTTCAGCGTCGATGGTAGACCTTTCAGACCTGAAAGGTAAACTCAACAATTCCATGACCTTTCCAGGAACTGACTTCAGGGATATGGAGACATGGATTTCTCACATTCGATATGGACATCAATCAAACCTAGCCTGTGTTACTGTAGGTGTATATAGTATATATATATACACTTCTTTTGCACGATTGCATATGTTTGCCAAGCGTCACATTGAGCCCCATGGAATTCCGCCTTGGAGACCACAGAAGCCGGAAGGGACATCAAAGTACGATGGTTGCAGCAGTAACTAGAATCAAATGTACAAAATTCATCCAAATTCATTGCCAAGGCACACTGATGTCACATTCTTCTGGAGGTTGATTGACATATACCGAATTATAGGTATTTATGTCAATTCGTAATCTAATGTAAATTATATGATCAACACATCGACAGGAGAAGGTGCTTGCATGAAGTCATCTAGTCATCCGTGCATCAAACAGCTGGATTCCTGAGAACCTTCTGATGGGATGGCACTGAGCCGTTGAATTCGATGCACTGAGCTCCATCTGTTCTTCGATGTACCGAGCTCCATCTGTTTTTCTTCCGCACATATCTTGTTATCAAAGGAAGCCCCTTAAAAGGGTGATACGTAGCTTTGGGAGGTCCAAGAAAGAAGTCTCACTACAGCCTACAGCTTCCCCTTCATCTTCGTTCTATTTGGATTTGGAACGCCTGAGTTTTGAGATCCGGACCACATCTTTTGCCTGTTCTCCGTTCTCCAATAAAGATAAACTATATACAGTAGATGAATACTAAGATGGCGTAGCCTGGATGCCAGTCTTCCAATATGCCAAACCCGTGACATTGGTGACCACGGGATGGGAAAAGGCAAATAACAATGTTGGCCAGCCCCATTTAGCTCCCAGTTTAAGCTCTAAATTGAGGTAGCTCATTGCTTGCATTTGCACAACACTTTTGTGAGTCGCTGCGGTATTGCTTTTCTTTCCATGCTTTTTCTTAAGCTGCTAGCACCTGGGGTTCTTGAATGCTCTTCGCCCTTGCGGCAATCCGATCTCAGCTGCCACACGTCTTCTCTTCAGCCCAGGCCACAAGTCTTCGATCTTCTCAAGGAAAATCTCTTCGATCTCTTGGTCTTTCTGCTTCAGAAGCTCAGCCTCCTTCACTGCACCATCCTTGGCGACTGCTGATGGACTCCATTTCGAAGACGGGCTTCACCGGGCGGCTTTTGTTCCACTGCGACCCTCAGCAAATAGTGGCCCCATATGTCGGATCATTTTCTCATGCAGCGCATGAAGAATGTGGTTCATTCTCTCTCACTCTCGCTCTCTGACCTTAGCTCTCTTGCTGCCTCACTCAAGGCGCTAGGAAAGGGAATTGCACGAGAACTACGGTGAGAAGGATGCGAACTACATCCGTCACACACATGTCATGTTATGTCTGATTCTTTGTATGTGTGTTTTCAGTTTGACAATTGTAGATTCCCATCAAACCACAACGTCAGAAGTCATCCATCAACACACATCAACACGATCGTCATTATAGTTCACCTCAGTATATAATTACAGTAAACTCCATGCTTGTGTTTGATGGGATCCTATTGGACTTCGTTGTGATCCGGTTGGGATGAACCATCGGTTGGGGCATCATGTGACATTGAGCCAACATCAGGCAGCCAATCGTATCCAGAGTTGTCGAGAAGGGAAATTCCGGATGCAACCCACTTCCTTTTGAGGATGCGTCCATGTTAATTTTCAGGAGGGTACGCTCTGTCCCACTAACATGAAAGTGGAACATAGGAAGGCCATTCTGCTCTACGAACAGTGGGTGCTATCCACGTCCATTCGTTTGTGAGTGGGATTGTAACTCCATGTATGGAACTATGTATGGAATATTTACCAATCATTGAAGAAACCACCCAACTGTTTATAAATATGCCACTATAAATATGCATCCGGGAACCTCCATGATTGGGACTCTGAACCGAACGACCGGACGAAACCGCCCGGACGAGCGGCACCGGAAAAACACCATCCAAGACCCCAAAATATGAGTCATAATCCATTTTAAAGCTCTATGGCATTCTATAGTGGCTCAAACATCTGGATATGTCCTAACCTTCACTCAAACTCATCAGTCTTTCATGTTGCTCCAGATGCCTTTTTTCGGGTGAAAGCACCCGCCTCACGGGCCACCCGGCCGGACCTTCGCCGAGCGGCGGCCCGTGACTGGAGGGTCTCGAGATGTGCCATGTGGGCGTCGCTGCGCTGGCGTAGCTCCTGCAAGCCTCCATCGGCCGTTTCTACCGCGTGTTCCGCGTTTTTCTTTTTTGGGGGTAGATCCAACACACACCCTTCCGAATTCCCCGCCAATGGCCGAAAAATGGCGACGATGGTGGAGATCCAGGTCATTGGTCCTTGTTTTAAAGCTGTGAAAGGAAACGTCCTTTTGTGTTTTTGTGGAGGAGGGTTGCCCTTCTGCCACTTGAGGCCATGAGGATTTCCTGGTGATGTACTCGTGACCTCGGTGGGATGTTGTATGATCTTTTTCTCCATCTAGCTCGTCCACAAAACACATCGCTCGGTTCCCGCGTTCGTCGCGGAGCTCGCCCTCCCCGGGATCTCCCGGTCGACAGTCGGTCCCGGTCCCCGCCGGAGCCGGGGCGGTTCGGTCGCTGTGGTCGCTTCGCGGCGGTCCGAGCGGTCGACTCCGACATCGGATATTGATGGCTGAGATGGAGGTCCCATCTTACCAAATGGAGGTTCACTTAGTGTGTACCCTCCCTCAAACCATCATGGACGTGATAAAAAAGGGACCCTGGAAGCAGGGAGTTGTCCACTTCCATGTTTGTTGGCTGAAGGGTATATACATCTTCCTGTACTACAGTTAGGGCGTGCCCCGGGTGCTTAGTTGGGCCCCCCCCTGCAGAGTCCAACCCAGTCGTGCTGTTGAAGCTCTTGAGGAATGTGGAATCTCGAGGACATTTCTGAAAGTCTCCACAAGAAGGGAACCTCCAAATGTCGTCCACTTCTGTTTGGGAAATCGTAGTCCTCCTTGCTCCGATGTCGTCATGTTGTCCTTCCCTGAAATGCCATCGGATGGACCACCTGATGCCACTCCCCAATTTTCGCCCACCGCTCTTGAAATATCTTAAACACATCCAAAAAAACACAAGGACGGTGCGGAAGAAACCGCACCCTCACCCTACTTCAACCCCATTCTTCTGCCGAGTTCCGAGGCCTGCGGCATGTTCCCCAGAGCTTTGCATCAAGCTGTTCACCGTCTCAACCAAGTTCGCCGCCCCTCACGAAAGAACAAACATCAAACAGAAACGCTTATACCAACGTTTTGTGGTGCAACTCCTTCAAGTCAGAAGAAGTAACAAACCGATCCTGTATTTCTTGATGGTGTATTGTTTTCATCTACACCTACTAGCCGGTCAGTAAGTTATCTGCTTTTGCAAGTGCAAATATTAGTGACAGGCGATCGCGATCCGCGCCAGTACATATAATTTGAGTTCCATGTAGTAGCTGGTCACTCTATTGATGTATTTTACTCCATCATACTCCTATGTTTGGGGTCCTGGATGCTGTGATATCTGTCAAAATGGATCAACCAAGTGAGGATTTGTCTGTTCGGAGGTGGCTCAAATCCCTAGACTCTCCCCTGTCTTTCATTTCCGCCCACGAAGCACGATCCAACTTCCTCACCCAATCCCACAGCCTTCTGAAGGTGATGATGTGAGTATGTATGACCATCCAGAGGATGATCTTTGGCCCCAACCACCATTCTCCCTGGAAACCCAAACAACCAGAAACAAAATGAAACAAATGGTTGTTCCAATATGGCTTGCTTGAAATCCTTTACATAGGAAATGGCTGTTTGGGGAAACATCCATTTGTTTCTGGCTGTTTGGTTTCCGTACTCACCTCCGTTCGACCGCTCCAAGCCGGACCGGGAGCCGGACCCTCGGTCAAGCCTAAGCTGTCCATGACATTCTGGATGTCAGCCTGACATGCAGCAGCTGGGGGAGGAGCTGGGGGAAGGGCCCAAGAGTTGGACGGTCCGAGCGCCGTGCTGCAGGTCGCACGTGACACGACCACCACCAGCCTCCATGAATGTCTTACCCAACCAACATGCCCAGCCCGTCCCAGCCCCCAGCAACTGAGGCCACGCAAGCTGTGCCAACATCCGTTGGGAAAATAAGCACGACTGACCCACCTGAGTAGAACCAACCCATCTAAGACTCCTGGGACGAGTGAGTTTTCAGAACACTATATTGCACTAGTGAGGCACTAGTGACAATCCTGCCCTTTTCGCCCAAAATTCCCATCACTCCTGGCTGATGCCAATGCTTTGGAAACATGAATCAGTGGGATGTGTCAACCCAAACGTCTTTGAGGTTCAGTGATGTGTCAAACTCACGAGCTGAAACACCACGCGCCGCCTCCGCCTCTCCACCGTCACCGGCGCCCGGGAAGCGTCACTCGGCGCGTTCCGCCTTCAAGAGCTCCAAGCGTTCGACGAAGGTCGCCTGGCGCTCGTCACCTGGGGGCGGAAGCAGCGCGGTGCTCGTTCCGCCATGAAACGTCGAGGAACCCCAAACAAAAAGGTATTCCGACTTCCCAGTGCTAATGGCTAGTGGCTAATGACACATCAGTCCAGATTTGCTCATGACACCATGGTTGTTGGATATACAGTATGTTTGATGTACACGGAGCATATGGCGTTGTCGGACGTGGGACATACCAAGAGGCTGGCGTCTTTGTGGGGCACAAAGGATTCGATGGGAAGTGCAAGGTGCATGCAAAGGCAAGAGCAAGATCAAGTCGAAAGTCAAAAAGCAACATTCTTCGTCATTCTTTCATTTCCTTCTCCTGTATACTGTGCCCAATCACGAACACCAACATCTTCCTTGCAGTTCTGAAGCCATCCAAAACCATTCCCCACTACAACACCGAAAGCGACACGAATGTGGTGTCAGATGGTCTCATACCCGTCACACCCGCCAGTATCTGCTTGCGCATCCCAGTCGCTTTCCAGCTGCTTCCTCTCCTGCACCACCTGCATCCTCATGGTTTGCTGATGGCGTCTGCTCAAGGTGCTGAGCTCCTCCAAAGGCCGCGCGACGCGCTACCGCCCCGCAGGTGGAGCGGAAGGTGTCACCATGACCTGTGTGGTCATCAAAGGTTCAAGAGCTCCACCGCAAATCTCACATAGCCAACCCGATCCAACCAGTGCAGATGCTTAATTGCTGTATACATATGGATATATCATATATCTTATATATCTTATGTATTATGTATACCCCATTTATATATCTGATGCTTTTGAAGGGCACCAGGGCACTGCAAAAGCTCCATGGGTGCCAAGGTCAACACAGCCGAACACCACCACTGGGAGAGACGATGTCTGGCAAAAAGTTCTCAGTTTGTATCACTGATGGCCCCTTTCAGGTAAAGAAAAGGCTGCCATTTGCACCCTCTTTCGTGGAGTTCCTTCGCTTGTTCCAACGATTCAGAACCGTTGCAACACAAACTCCAAGGCATGAGTCAAAGGATGTTGCAGAAGTGCCCCTTCTAAAGCAACAGCACTTGGGGGTGGAACATCATTCTGCCGAACCTGTTCGAGTGTTCCACTTCACCTGGCAAAAGGTGCGACTTGTGATGTCAAACACTTTGGGGGAAGATTGGGGAACGTATGCTGGCAGGAAAGCAGCTGCAGCACTGTATATATCCAAATGACATTTCTTCAACTCCTACCTCGAACCACACCTGAGTGTCTACCTATACCTATACCCCGACTCTGTTTAGAAAGCCCCAGTAAGGTTCAATCAACCATGAAGATCAGTTACAATAAAACACAAGAGTGTGCACATAGGGCACGCCTTCATGTCTATGTCCTATAGCCAATGGTGATCAGATCGATCTATACATACCCATTTATTAAAAAAAATCAACTATTAAACTCCAACTATCTTCCTCACATGCCCGCTCATCCTCCCAACCGGTGTGCACCAACAAAAAGCGCAAAGCTCGCTCAAAGCATCCTCAAACAGCATGTGCGAAGAAGGGTGGGCCCCAACCAGCTCCACCCATCTCCTCTCCCGTCCTCCTGGAGGGATTTGATGCTCAGCATGTGGTGCCGCAACTCCACCTTGCCATCCCCCACACCTGGAGGCATACAATCGCACACGGTCTCCGCCTGGGATTTGACCACATCGAAAGACAAGGGGAAGCAACAAGGGACAAAGGAGAGACGTTCAAAATGTCAAAGACGTCTGGGGAGTGTTGATCATTCAAAACTAAAGTTCCCTGGATTCCACCACCTTTAGCCTACCCTCTGTGCATGTGCCCACCCCAGCTCTGCGGGTGTAGGAACGCACTAGACCAGAGTGGACCCGCCGGTCCTAAGGGCCACCGGCCCAGGAACAACAAAAACCATCCATGCGACCCTAATTCCAGCTTGTTGACTCAAAATCTTCCAGGACAGAAAAAACAACACCAACGTGGAACCCCAAACAACCAGAAACAAATGGCTGTTCCAATATGGCTTGCTTGACATCCTTTACATATGGAAATGGCCTGCTCAGCCATCCCGCGGCGCCTTTCTTTGCTTCACCGAGTTCGCTTCGAAGATCTTTCATTCCTCAGGGGAAACGGAGCGCCAGAACGAAGGGATCGATGGATGATGGGATGTAGCACGCCCAATGGCTGGCTGTTCCAGTGAATTCCAGAAGCCCCGCGGTGGTCGCTAACAGACCCAACAGACAGAAACGATGTGTACACAAATTTACAAGAAAGGGAATGGCTTTTCCATCTATTCCCAGGTCGCTCTATGTGGATTCTGGAGGAGGTTTTCGACTTGCCTATGTGCCAAGGAGCTCAATTCTTCTTGCCGTCGTTGCCTTGGAGCTTCGGCATCTCTCGCTGGGCTGGACAAAAGAAAATGGATTCCTCTCCCTCCCACTTCTAGAGGCACGACCAACTATATATATATAGAGTTTTCTCTGGGTTCCATGCTTTTTGGGATTGATTCGGGGGGTATGTATATTTATATACATAACCTCTCAACCCATTTCAGCAGGAATTTCAAGACTGAGGGATGTGCAAAGACTTGCCTTTTCCAGTATTTTCCAGTGGGGAATTCGGGTGACAAAGCACAAATTGTCACCGCCTTCTCTGCTGAAAGAAACTCGAGGAACACTGACAGAAAAACCAAGTGCGATTGCTTCCGCCGCGGGTGTCAGTTCATGTGCCAGTTTCCACCTGAGTGTCCCCAATATTCCAACACCCCACATACTGCCCTCGTACATCCTTAATTCATTATGCCTGGATGGTCCGACTTTATGAGCTTTGCCTGAGGAGAAAGAAACACATGTCACTGCTATCCAGGATCCACCGCTATCGGAATTCCAAGGGGCCGCCCGTGATTCGCCAGAAAGGTCTCCCATGCGTCCTGGCGGATCTGGCGCAGCCGAGTCACCATGCAGGTGATTTCTTTCAGATGCTTCTTTAGCTTGAGGATGTGGGGGATTCAACCAAGTATAGACTAGAAGTGGACGGGTAAGGATGAAAAAACAAAACACATCAAGTGTGCTCATACAATTGTTATTTATGTCGACTGTGTACGATGATGTCCTCAAAGAAAATTTTCCAAGATTCCTCGTTTTCGTTTTTCTTTAAACTCAACACAAAAAATGGTGCGTCACCAAAAACAGCAGGCACTCCTTCTGCTGTTCCAGCCGCGCCTGGAACTTGCCTCACATCCCGAAACACTGGTGCTTTTTGGCCCTCGAAATACGGAGTTTCCGGAGACCACGTTTCAACGTTTTAAAGCCAGGTTGCTTGTAATATTTGTATATCTAATCAATATTAAAAAATGAATATGTGTATATATATACTGTATATGTGTATACATATAATACAATGTATATATATATATGTACAATGTATATATATACTTATCAAAGGGTCAAAAGGTCTACTTGAGAGAGGAGGGGGTGAACGAAAGGTAGCAAGCAATCACAAGTAACCCTGGTCGAAGTCCATGACGGCGTGAACCGGCGCAGGGGGGATTTGATCCAGGGGGGGGGGGCCCCCGACGAACAGAATCAACTCTTACAGGACCAAACTCAATGCACAATCCCAACTCCTGATTGTAATACATTTTTGCTAAAGCAAGGAGACCTCAGGTAGCTCAAGCTACCTTTCGTGACTTGTCTATCCTACATATAGTTTTATCTCACAACACTCCCTCTCCCCGTGCTAGACCCCCTCAAACATCCAGGCTTCTTTCATGTCACTGGTCGGTGGTCGGAGTAAAAGGGGACAGGGCACTTCAAGCATTTGTAACATTCTGAAGTAACAATCGCCTCCCAGGTACTTCCAACCCTCCAGGGAAAACACTTGACAGCCATCCTCTTGTTGGCCGCTGCCCTATGATGAGGAATGCTTGGGAGGAAAGTGAGCGAGGACAGGTCCTTCCCAGAATTTTGAGGACAAAAGAGATGAGGCTGGGCTGAGCCTGTTGGAGTGTTACATATACACGCGCACACACACAGATAGATATATATATATTGTATCTACACACTTTTCACATACAGGATCCGTGGGTGAGATCTCCCAAAGGTACAGCAAGCGTTTGAATGCGGTGCAAGTGTCGGCAACACTGCTGAGACGCTTGTACCTTCCTGCAGCTCAACCCGTTTGAGGTTCATGGTGCATTGCGTTGGTGGCAGGCGCAAATCGCCACAAGCATCTTGGAATCCACAAATCCCCCATGTACGGTTCATGACGCTTGGGTGTCCCCATGCTCCGCCAACCCGGCCAAAGTGGCTGCAGTGTCGTCGATGTGTCAAAATGCTGTCTTTTCGACGAGAAGCTATTGGACTCCAAAGCTTCCTGATGACGGCTTGACCTTGAGCTGATCAGGAAGAGAAGGAACTCCGATCCATTCTTAGCTAGATGGCATGTCCCCATGCAAGACTCGTTCCACCACCAATGGTCGTTTGAAAGGCGCTTCCATGGTTAATGAGTCGAAGTCACAAATATTCCTTCGCCGGAGCTTCCGGGCGGTCCAATTGGGGATTCCACCAGTTGTGCAGCGGAGGTGTCTTACCGGTGCTGGCAGCAGTCTACTCAAGCTGCTTGCGAACCCCCAAACAGAGTCCCCCAACCAAGTGGCCGATCGTCTGAAAAGGAACGCATCCAATTTGGGATAGCACCCCAACCCCGGTCTGTGAAGAAACATTAAGAGAAACCCAGTGCTAGCACCCAACGGACCCAGTTGGGATGGTTAGATGGAAAACGACATGAGCTGGGTGGTGCTGGTTCTTGGGAGACACATTGGACCGCATTTCTTTGGACTCCAAGATCTCAGTCCTTCCCGTCACGTCCGTTAGGAACGTCGTCACAGCGCGACATCTGTGAAGGGGTGATTCCTGGAAGAGGATGACGACGTTGGACACAGGGCGTGAGCCGAACTTACTTGGGTCCAGTTATTGATAGAACAGCATGATGTAGAGTCCTCGTCTTCGAGATTTACCGAAAGGGACAAGTAACATCACTCACCTCAAATAAATCCAGGCGACAGTCTGTGCACTTCTTTCTGCAAACTCTCCAGTTCTTTCTGCATCTGCTCTGTGTCCTCCTTCTCCTGGGCAAGCGATTGAACGATTCGGCAGTGAACAATAATGGCAGCACTTTAATGCATGCAGTAATATGCATATTGAAGCATATCCAATCCCAATAAATAGCAAACATGGAAGCTGGTAGACCTGCCAAAAGAAACTCATGATCCCCACCTCCTTGTGATAGTAGTCATCTCTGAAGGTTGCATCTTTCTCCCATTGGTCCTTGAGCGTGCCTGCATTCTATGACTAAATGGTTTTTTGTTAAGCAACCAGTTTCAACCGCTTGGATATGGATGGATGTGTATGTCAAGCTCACCTGCAAAGCGAATCATACTTGAACCTCCCCAAAGGCCCCGATGCTGGTTAAATGACACTGCATATATATATATAACTATCCCGTGTATATATATATATAGTTATAATATGATATAATAGTATAATATATATATAACTAACATATATGACATATATATATATATTTATAACATATTTTGTGTGTGCTACTTTGACAATCCTTCATATCTTCCAGACTTCCCATGAACTTGGCCCACCCCAAGGAGCACCTGGGTGGTCTCGCTGCGTCGGAGCTCCAAGGCACTGGCGGATTGCCTTGGATCGTTCGAAAGCATCGTCCGGCCCCGTGGGAGCCTGTCTCACGGAGGACCAATTGCATGAGCGATTGCATCGCCAAAGGCAAACACACTTTCATCGATAAAGGAAGAATGGATGAACATCCATCAGCATTGGGACCCCACTGGCCTCAATAGATTGAAGCATATTATGAAAACATCTCAAAATGCATGGACACATGCGGTTCCAAACGGCCCACCCAAATTCCCCACCACCCCTGCAAAGCTGTATACGTCCATTTCCAATACCCAAGGCCATTTGTAACTATTTGCAGCCAGCTAGTCGAGTCAACAAATACCATAGAGCACACAGTGAAACGCATGAAAGCCAGAAGGCCCATATCACTGACAACGTTCCTTAAAAACAAGAACATGTAAAAACATTTCACAAATGTGTGACGCCGAGTTAAGCATTTTGTGCAAAGGGTTCAACACTGGGAGACTCGAGGGCTCCAAGCTTCGAAGTTGACTCATCATCTTCTCCATCTTCCCACCCCTCTTCAGCGTGTAGAGCCTAGAAAGCTGAACTCCCCCCATCCGAAGATGGCAACATGACGGCCGTTCTTCTCCATGACGGCCAATGGGACCCAAACACATCCAGGTTGCTGCAAATCCCACAGGAAAGAGCGGCTCTCGCGGTGCTGCTGATCCACCTGAACTTCCAAGAGCCGAAAGGTGCCACCCAGGGTGCCAGTGGAAACGCAGAACTTCCTTCACCAAAACAAATTTGGTATCAGAACACAAGATGACACAAGCACGTTCATTTCCACCTTTAGCATTTCAGAGTTTCTAGGCGAGTTGGAATTCAAAAGCAGGGAGGACTCGAGGACACACCAGGTACATTGAGCAATTGGCAGCTGGAACGGGATGACCATTCAACTGTGGGAATGGTTTTTCAAGAGTGGCTGCCACGAAGCAACACGATGTGCCCGAAAGAGACCGACCGTCTCAACATCATCAAGCCTAGTTTGGATGGGGTAGGGTTAAACCGGGCATCGTGAATGCAGGGAAAGCAGCCAATCAACGTCAACCATGCTACTGTAATTCTCGTGGAGAATGATGATGTGCCCAAGTCAGTTCCTTGATATCGTCCTTTGATGTACGCCATGAAAAGCCAAAAAGTCAAGGCTTGCAGGAAACTCCCCCAAATAGCAAAAACAAAAAGCACTTGGGCATCATGAAAGGCAATAAAGGCCATCACAAAGCAAACCTTCTCCTTCAGGGGTTCTTCTGGAATCTTTTCTTTGGAGGGTGCTGAACTGTTCTCATTCTCCATCTGGTGCACCCCATCTCACCCCATCTCACCTCTTCACAGTGACTCTTCACCTGCCATCCCGAGCTGGAGTGGCTTGCTTTGATTTTCTGGGCTTTGGCAGGCGCTGTGAATCGAACCTTGCTTATATATATTATATATATATATACAGTAATTGCAATGATCTAGTTACCCCTACTCAATTAGCTATACTTAGTAATGGCCCGTTCATTGGCTACTTGGCTACGTGGCCCACCCAAATACAGGTGAAATTTCTCGGGCAAAACGCCCACAAAGCCTTGACCAAAGAGCCTTAAGGGACCAGCAAATCAACAAAATTCCCACCAACCGACAAACTTTATTCACAAAGCCTGGACAATGTCAGAAGGTGTTCCAAACCCGAGTGGAACGACACAGAAGATGTAGATCTGCCACCCTCAGGTTTTTTGCACTCGCAGATTTTTTCGGCGTAGCGTCTCCAGTCCCCACGCCTGCTGCAGTTGTGCATCAAGCTCTTCAGCATGGCGCTCCAGGTGGCTACAACGGCGATGCTGTTCGTCCTGAACAATTCGGACGTGCGGCCATGGGAGAGGCTGGACCGAGTGGTGGTCCCACAGCATGGAAGCCAAAAGTGAAGCAACTGCAAGCATGGGTGGTATAGTGCTCTTCCAGCCACCATTTCACTCTCTCCCTGCCGGTTTTGTGATTAGCGAGACAGGAGCAAGCACACTTGGCCCATGTCACCATGAACAAACTGCAACTTGTAACATGGAGATACATGGATAGACCTCATGGAAAATCCTCCGGACTCTAGCTGCAGCAAAACAGACTTCGGTTTAAACACAAACATGCATAATTACTGCGCCGGCTGCCTTCAGACCTTGTCCATGTCATGTGAGTATATGTGAGTCTTGAACTTCCCCCCCGAATTCGCCCCAAATTCGACCTCACTGGGGATTCTTGTCGCAGGATTCTGTGAAGGTCCCCACCCAACATGAGGCCTGAGAGCCACGGACCCCGCCACCAACCGCCTGGACGTCGGCGATCCGCTGCTTGCTGGCCACGAGCTGAGCCTGAGCGGAAGCTGAGTGGAATGAAACCAGCGAAAGGTTCGGACTGATCGTTCCAGTTCCATTTTGCCTTCCATTTCAACTGAAATCAACCCCTAAAAAAAAAGCGATTGCGTGGTGCATCCAACGGCCGCGAGTGGAAGCCGAAGCTGCGAACGCTTGGACACTCCGAAGCGTTCGAACCTGGGAACTTCAGTTCGGATCACCTTTCTTTGCTGCAAATCTGCGAAGAAAGGGTGATCTTTTCCACTGAAGACGCCCAAGCTGTGGGTCATGTGAATGAGATTCATGAGACAATGGGCATGAAGCCCAGATCCCGGATTTGGGTCCCCTTTAGCAGCGTGCCTCTTTTTGGAGGCGCACGAGTTGGAGTGGGCGGCGCTCATCGCACGAGGACCCCTGCTTAGGTAAGAAAGGTCAACATTTTGCATGGTTCGTGCTCCGTAACAGGCTCCACTCAGGTTCCAGGATGTTCTAGGTCTAGTACTTTCGACGGTTGGATTAATACAAATCCCGTATGAAGAGGCTTTAAATCCAAATGGGAGGATCAATAATATAGATTCCTTCATCAATATTCCATATTCTACATTATAGTCTACAAACTCTACATTATGAGGTCGTAGAACCAGCTTTGCTCGACTCGGGCATACTCCACCTCACCTGAGCCACCCTGATCATCTTTGAGTGCTCCTGTCCATGGCGCTGCGAAGAAAAGACCATCCACTGAGATACCTCCACCAAAAAGAATATGCGCGATTGGTCTGCGAATGTGTGAGAGGTGTCCTAGTTTGATCTAGTTTGTGGGACAACACATGCCCCCCCCCAAAAAACTACGTGAAACATGGAACAGTCCCACCTAAACACTTGGCACAGTGACAAACGTATAACACATATAGTTAGACTAGAATCAGCACTGCAAGCGTGCAGTGCATATGCATACCTCCCATGGGTGCACTGCGCACCCAATACTCAAGCAATCGATGCAGACTCTGGGTGCTAATGATCGGGCTGGCTGGGGTGAACTGCCAGGTGATTCATATAGTCAAGTGACATCCTGTCAGGCTTTCAAGCACCACACTGCTCCAACGAAAGGCTTCGGGGGATGTACACTCCTTGGCAAAATTTCTCGTACGTAGAGGAACATGGTCATCCAAGGGACCATTTCCACTTCCATGATTCCAGGGAGTGTACATCTCACGTTTCTATCACATCTTCCGCCGCAAACGGTGGAGACTCTTCCGGATCGATCGTGCGTCCATGTCCCAGGTCCACTGAGGGAGGAGGACGAAAATACCACGCAAACACCCCCCATTGGACTAACATAGGAGCCGATCAGTTATTGACCCAACTCAGTTGGGGTGAGTTGGAGGAGTCCTATTATTCCACTCCTATGGAGTGTTTGGGATGGGGCTGAATCCTTCACACCTCTTCAGCACCCAGTGCGGCTCCCGGGAGGCGTGCTTTGAAAAGCATTGAGCCACACGAGAAACAAAAAAGAACATCTGCCAGTGGAGCCACACGCCAGGCGTGCAAGACCACTTTCAAGGGAGTGGTAATGACTGTCAGTCAAAATGAGGCTTAATCTTCCCAAAATGATGACAGGATGGGTGTGTATGAAAACAAATGAGACTTTTGTTGGGGGTATATTCAAATGCTGTCATCTTGTGAAACCTTGAAAAAGAAACGGAGCAATGAAAAAACACCCATGGCTCAGTCATCTGACGCGTGTGAAACACTTGCAGTTTGGGCATATCCCATTACCAGTGGCAATGGATGATGGTTAGTAAAGGTAAATGGTATAATTATACATATATATATATATAATCGTTTACCGACCGTTACTGGTGGCCTTTTGGAAGTTGCAACAGATTCCATCCAAGAGAGAGAGAGAGAGAACTTCTTTCCAAGAATATCTTGGAAGAGATCTTCTCTCATCTTCTCACAAGATTGTCGATTTCTTTTGCCCCATCCTTGTGAGATCGTCTCCCCAAACACCCATGCCATCTCCATGAAGGCATGGTCTTACACTCTGACGAACAAATACATGGATGGCATGGCTCCGACAGCAACACACTTTACGAACAGGAGGTGCAACAACCAGGCAGTGCAGCGGTCCCATGGCATCCACAGTCAACATATGTCAAACTTTGCATCCACTGGTCGTGACTGGCTGGTGCTTCTCCTTGAGTAGTTGATCATGGGCTGGGATAGCTTCCATCTCCACCACCAGTGCGTTGACCACGCCTCGGTGTCCGGCCAAACCTTGCCCCAGACCGGCCGCCGGTTTCCGGCGCACGAAGCACAGTTGTGCTCACATGTCACATCACCCCAATAGAAGCTGAACCAATGCACCTTTGGTTATACATCTAAATGCAATGCATCGATATAAACAAAGACAAATAAGAAGGATCAATTGTATATTTGATTTGCCCTGCTCTTTCCATGAAACTCTGGTAAAACCCTCATGTATCCAATGTGCTGCCCCTGCCCCGCATGGGAAAGCAACATTAGTCATCTACAAATGTTGACATACACAAATCGGTCGTTCTCCACATGAAAAGCTACATGATGTGTGTCTTAAAGTCTGCGGGCAAAATAAATATGACGTGCTATTCTTCCAAACCCTTTAGGTGCAGTCACTGTAGTTTCAGGCAGGTTCATCATTGATAGCCACTGCTGGCAAAATGGTGATGTCTCGCCAAGCAGCCGTGCAGTTCGTTCACCTCGGTATGTCAACGCGACTCATGGCATCTTTGCAACTGAAAGCCATCAACAGGCAGCTAAGTTCACATTCAAACAGGAATGCGTGAGCCATGTGCAATAAACATGGCACAACAAACAAAAGGGGCCCCTGCCCAGTTTCCTTGCTTCCTTCAGTCAAAGAGAGGGAGGGAAGGAGGGAGGGGAGAGACAGAGAGTGAGGATAACGACATCAACACATTTTTCCAAGCGTCTAATTCACCCTCACCCTTCCCATTGCTCCAAATCTCAAGCCCCAGAGGGTTCTCCCAGGGCACGCTTTCGGTGAAGGGCTCCAGGATGCTTTGGAGGTGCCTCGACACCGAGCCGAGCTGGGGCCACCTGGGAGGGTCAACCCTAGGGATCCTAAAGAGGAAAGGTCCAAAACCAGCGACTTTTAGGGTTGAGGGAGGTGAAGCTATCGATTTTGGATGAATCTTTGTGATATGAACCATGGGTCAAGATAGGTGAATCCCCCTCCAAAACTCAGTCATCAACTTGACAAATGTCCAAGTCGGGAAGTGGCAGCTATCTGTGGAAACTACTGTAGCTCTTCAGCTCGTGAAGCGACCTCGTTGTTGTCGTGAAGCGACCTACGGCAACCTCTTGGCCGCTTCAAGCCTTGGCCGGGCCTTGAACCGAAGCCATTTCAAGGCTTGGCCAGTTCGTCGCCCCACTTGTGGCGAAGTAGGAAGATCACTCTGCTTGACAACCTCCATCTTCTCAGCTTCCAAACAAACCAAACCCTAGAAGTCCAAAGACTATAATACTTTGACCGACAAGGAAATTCCTTTTTTTCGGGTCACCTAAATGCATTCTTTTGCAGTCTTTGACTCCCAGGGTGGAGGAGATGACCTCCCCCCAGTCCCCCTTTTCTGGTTTCTTCGCACATGCAGTGAACCCCAGGAGAGGCATTTGAATTAACTTCCAAAATCTTCCAAATATAATTGTATGTTATGTACAGTACTTGATTAGATTGGTACAATTCGCAAGTGATGCTTGAGAATGCACTATCCCATCAAACACGCTTGCACTACTCGAAATAGTCATAGACTCGTCGCGCACCGGCGGTCAGACATGGTGCTCATGTATGAAGGCCATCATAGTGCTTTCGCCCATGCCATGCTCTTCGGAGATCACCACACCGCCTGGGACATCACGCGAGAAAGGCGGACCAAATCGGTCTGGTCTATCGGCCAGACCAGCCGGGAAGCTCAATGATAGGGTAGGTAGATGACTATACTAGGTCTCGGACTCGGATAAACGTTTTTGTGATGTGTTTCCTTTTTTAATCGAAAAAACCGTTTTCCACAGTAGCCGTGAGCGTTTTTCACAAGACGAATCAGTAAGTGAGAGGGATGATGCGCATGATGTGTGACCCTATAGAGCTTGGCCTCAGATTCTCCTCAGCTTAAGGACAACTTCAGAGCTCATTTGCTTCCCTTTTGCAAGTGGAGGCCGGAAAACCTTCTAACTGAGCAGGATTTGATCTTCATGAGCGCCACCTGTGAGGTGCCTTCTCCACACAAAATGGTAAAAAGCAAAAAGTGAGGTGAGATAAGTGAGATACACTGGTTTGAAAGGTCATCCCATCCCCTAGATCAGTCGAACCTTTGCTGGTGCGTTCCCAACAACCGGTGATCGCCTGTATCTCCTCAAACCCAAGGAGGTTAAGCGACCTTGTAAGATGCTGGGTACCTATATGGGTAGTTCTATTCGGTTCTTCAACCTCTGTTGAAACCGTGTCAAGCCGGCCAAACCGAGCGGCCCATGGCGGCCATGGTGACCATGGATCGGTGTCACCGGGAGGCGAAAAGCAGATCGTGCAAACGAAAGAGCTGCTCAAACCAACAGAAATGATGTTTTTTTTTCAAGAAACATCCCATGTTTTGTTGCAAGGTGAACGGCTTATGGCTTACTTCTTGGCAGAATCTGGGATCGAACTCAGCTACTGACTTGATCAGGTGGGCTCGAACGTCATCTATGCAAGGATCCCAAGTTCTTTCTAAAAACACACTAGGAATTGTATGGCTGCAATACTGTGTGATATTATTTTGATATGACTTACAGTAATTGGATTGCAATCCTATATACCAATCTCCACAGGAAAAGGGGGTGCTATCAAATCTGATCAAGTGTGTGTTGATGTCATCCTGTCAGTTTCGTTTCCACTAGGCCTGAGCCAAGGCGACAGCAGCTCAAGTTCACATTTTTGGGTGGACGTGTGCCTTTGCTCTGTGCAGGAAACAACTTTTCAACATGTTTAACCAGGTCCGTCCCTTCCCTTACAGTCATGCTATCCACCTGCATGTGTACACATGCCCCCATGGTCTCCACTGTTGGCCAAGATACGGAGCTGATGAGCGTTTATTTGCGAGAACAAGTCCCCATTGGAGTTGAAACAACAGGATATTATCAAGGATCATGTAGACTCTTGGTGAAGAAAACCCCTGATATGCAGAGGGCTTACAATCCAAATGGAGAGAGAGATCTTATTAATCAAGCGTCTACATTATATCACATATTAGTATTATAGATATATATATATACCCTCAAATAAATAGAAACGCACATCACCACTACAAATGAATTGAACACCGGTCCGATCTATTTGGGGACCTCTATACATGAGAAAGGGATCCTGGAAGCGAACCTGACCGTAATCAGGCTTATCCGTGGGTTTCTCCGAACCTGGATCCAAAGGCCTCGGACCTGGATTGGGATAGATTTCAAAACAAACTCCCCCCAAACAATATAATCCGATATATGCACAACAAAGCCAAATCAAATGCATGACCCATACACTTCAAGTTTGTCTCTGCACTCTCTTTCTTCGGTGTCCTCTCCAATGACTCTTGACTCATTAGTGCTCCTGTCCAAGCTCCACACACTCCCATCTCCCTCCACACATTCCGCACTTTGTAGCGGGTCAACCCAGCTGGGATTTGAATGCTTTGCGGCCACCCGAAGCTCAACGACGATGGCTCTCGATCGGATCTCAACGACGAGGCTCGATTTGGGGTGCCGGCATCGGGCTTGATCTAACAGTCGGAACCATCCTCCGCAAGTTCTTTGAATCTCCGCAACTAGGCTTCCGGCCTGCTATTTTTGTTCAGTTTCTTTCCCAGGATCTCTTCAAACTTCTTTGAGGTCTGTGCAGAGTCTGCTTAAGTCTCTGCCAAGCAGCTCTTTAAGGTTACGTCTGGTCTGAAAAAGTAGAACATAGTAGAACCACGGGATGTTCGCCCAATACGTGGATGGGATAGCATCAGGGAAGACTATATACGTGGTTTTCTTCACCAACAGGAAGGGGTCCCACTTTGCTGCATGTTGCTGAGGTGTGGCCGCTCACTCTAAACCACATCAAGTCCGACAGGGACAGCAAAGAGGTAGCTCAGAAGTATTAGGCTCCAGGAGTTACGAACATCTCACATGGATGTGGATGGCAAGAATCCCCTATAGAAGACAAATTTCCTTCACAACCAGGTTCCGGTGCTTTTCCACGTGAGTCGGAGGGTAGCAGAATTTTCGCTGGTAGGGTTGAGGAAGGGCTCCATCTTGCGTGTTCACTGATCCACTCGGACAGACTGACCGTGGAGCGGAACCATCGCCCCGAAAAGCGAACTTCGCGATCGGGTGAGTGAGATTTGTGGAAACCACCAATTGAAAAGGGTATGTGGTTGATGGCTGGAGTGTCCGGGCGTCTACGATCCACTTAGTGGACCACTAACTTAGGTGACCTTAGAATCCACTCGCTGAAAGTCACTAGTCGAATGCATTGGGGGTGCGGAAGTTCATCTGAACATGATGTGTAAGATGGTGTAGCCCATCTGAGGCCTAAGCCCACAGAACGACCTCCCAAACCACCGCCCGTGCTCGGCGAGTTCTATTCTGCACCGGAAGGGGCCAAACAGAGACAGACGTCATGTGGGACGAGAACAAACTCCACATCACATGGAGTTCCCCCATGCTTCTGGTGTATCAGCAGCTCCAGCCACAAATCTTAGAGTTCGGGAAAGCACAGAAAAAGGATCCTCTGATGAACAAAAAAGCTGCTAGATCATGATTTTGACTCTTGGAATCTCTTGGACAACCAGGAGCGGCACACCCTATCCCACTCGACTATCGAACGTCCGCCTTTCTTTGCCTGCCGGATTTCTAGGAACGCGCAGCTCCGCTGGCATCCCCAACAAATCAAGGCGATCAGGCAATTAATATAGATTGTTGGCCGTACGTTGCGCGGCCAAGGCCGAAATGCGAGGCCGGGTGGTCCTCATTCACAAAAACGCCCACAAGCTCGGTTGCTCCTCCCAGCTCGCTCACAAGCTAGGTTGTCAAATCGGTCCAATCTCAAGGAACATCGAAGCCCCGGCACCCAAATAGGAACTTGCCGGACAGTTCTTTTTCGAGGGATCAACCACTTTGTCTCTAGAGGTCCATTGGACACCGGAGGAATTGGCCAAGAACAAAGAAAAATACCACCCCACAGTTGTATCGCCATTGAATGGTAGTCAGTCATATAGTTATACATGATCATGCATTTTGTTCAACAGGGTTTTGTTCTGTTTGCATTCTCCGAATCTCTGGACTGACGGATGAGTTTTGTCCAGCCCTCACTTGGATGCATATAGGAACGTTTTGGAAACTCGAAAACACATTATCACCCCCTTCTGTCCCTGAGGAGGGTTCACCAAAGGGAAGCACATAACACCACTAGCAGAACCAGGTCCCTCATCAGGCATAGCATGCTCAGTACGTGTTCACTGTATGCTTGTGGTCCAACTAGGCAGATTGCGGGCAACAGTCCTTCATCAAAGACGGCGTGAGTGCGTGTTCACGATGGTGATCCCAGCCGAGAGTAGGACAAAGCACAATGCTGCTGCAATATATAAACAAATACGCGGCTAGGCTACTCTGCGGCATTCCCACTGATGTGTTGATTGATGTATGTGTGTATGTATATATATGGCAACCCTCAGCTACTGGAGTAGGACAAACACTCATATATTTATAACTGAATATTTATATAACATTAAATTATGTAACCATATAACAACTTCCTCAGAACAGGTGAGATTACAAAACTTCACAGTATAGCAACTTCGCGAAAACAATGATTCCTGATTTCTGAAGCTGTCACATGTGTAATTACTTCAGGTCTGCCATTGTGGCAGTCAACAACCTCAACACAACTAGCGAAGTCCAGGAGTACTTTGCTTCGAAAGATCATTCGGCGGTCGTGACACTCCCGGGTTCAAGTTCAAGCCCTGCAATGATGTCTTTTTGGTGTGTTTTACTGAACCATTCTCACCAAACATCAAACACACATATATTTGGCAAAACCTACCCGGTCTGTTTCTGTCTTGGTCTGCCTTGGCTTCCCCCTTCAGTAAAAATGATCTGGACCTAGTGACCTTTATCAAACCTGCAGCTGGATGTAGCTCCTCAACAAAATGTCAAACCATGTTCCACCTGTTGTGGATTTTCAAGGGCTCAAACATCAGTCTCACTCACGCAATCTCGGAGAGACTCCTAAAACTGGACGCCGGTCAGGATGTTGAGACCGGTCTGATCGTGGACAACGATCACGCTGATGGTCAGACGGTCGGGTGCACTTTGTTTTTTGAAAGCCTCTTCCCTGAAGAAGTGACAGCTGACAACATCTATGCAATTCTATGCCTCAAACGTCAAAGAGATACAATAGGATGGGAAATGATGGGAATGATACGGAAGGATGGAAGACTGAAAGGGCCAACACGTTTCGAGCACCTCATTCTGCATCCCAAAACGGATCCATCCACACACCTGTGCCCTAAAAGGCGGCGAACAAATGCCGTGCCCTTGTGCCCCTTTGGCTCCATGACCGATCATCTTCATGTTCCATATGGGTCTCGAAGGAACATAAAACAATATAGACGGAATATATATAATATAACCACAAAAGCACCTGTCTGGAGCTTTTGAGCGGGTTGGCATGAGGTGCTGGACAACAGTGCCGTCTTTTATTGTTTTTTTGGCTGAGCTGGCGCCAAGACTGTGGTCCCCTGCTCAAGCTTTAACATGGCTCAACCTCCTTTAGTGTACTTAGGCAGTACATCCATGAACAAAAACTGGCTCAGGGTCTAAGAATCAAGTGAGCCAACAACAAACAAACCACAAAATCTGAAGAACATCTGCAAAGCCACCCTGTCGTTGAAGCTGGTTGAGATGTTGAGAGCAAGGCTCTTGTTTCTACTCAAGCTGGTGATGGTCATCGTTTATCCAGCGAAGCCAGTCATAGGTCGCCCCAAACTTGTGACTCTTACAGTATGACATATCTCCTGAATTCTCCTGATCTCTCGGAGCCCTGGCCCTCACCCAAACACTAAGCCTTTGGAGGTGGTCAATGGCTCAGCGTTCCGAAAGGCCACGCAAACGTGACCCCCCAAGAAACCTGACCATCTGCGAGTGGGTGGCGTCCTTGCTTCTGTGAGTTGGGCGGCCAATAAACTCGCCAAAGATACTGACCGGCCCATGAGTTGAGTGGCGCTGGACATGCGGAGATCGAGTGGCTGCGTGTTTCAGAAGGAACGGAAGAAAGTATATGAAAATATCCCCCTTCCGGGCGCTCCAAAGACTGGCTCCACGTCCAGCTAGTTTGACCAATGAGTTGCATCTGAAAATCCATTTCCGCAGCTAAACATTGAGCTCGCACATCCTCCCTCAACGCACCCAGTTCAGCTGGATGCAGCTGCTCAAGTTCCCTCCAGGAACTTGACATGGAAAACATTCAAACAAAATCAGCTTCGAAGGGGTGAATTGGTGCTCGGAGTGCCGGTGAATTCCGATCTTCATTTCGGACACATCTGAGTGCAACAGAATTCAACCTTCTCTTGTTTGTTCTTTTTCTCATGGAACAAATTCAACTAAACCGACTTCAGTTTGCCCTGCCGGTCCCAGTCCTGCCGGCCCCCGAAACCGCACCAAGCCATCGCCCCTGCGTGCTGATCGTGGCGAAAGGCGCCACAGGGCCGAAGGAAAGCTCGGTCGGGCACCGGGGTTCACCGTCTCCATGGTTCGGTTAGAGGAATCTGCTTGGGACATTGGCTTCTTTCCCGTCGGGGAAAAGAAGCAACTTCTGCCACACGAACAAAGGTCATGAAGGTCATGAACAAAGGTCATGAAGCGCCATCTCTCAGATCGATCGACGGTCTCCGGCAGGCTTTGCTCGCAAATGCTTTCAGCGCTCGCGCCGGCACCAGGAACTTTGAAGGCGATCGGATCCAACAAATATGGGCGAACATATCGAAGGGTCGCAACACCAATGCCCACAGGGCTAGTTCATGATGCACGCGCCCGATGCAGCTGACGGATTGCGTTTGAAACCACTTCAGAATGAGCAGCGGTCGAAACTCAGAAGGCCGGCCAACACTCTGGGCAAATGGTCACCTTGGAGACCTCTGGCGACCCCTGCACGAACACAGGGGATCTTGTTTTGGGACGCCCAAACACGAGCCCCGAGCGGGAGATGACACGTTGCTTGTTGGTGGCCCCGAACGCAGGTTTCTCATTCGCCCGGAGATGAGGCACCTTCTGCAAAACTGTGACAACATAGCCGAGAATTGTTGCAAAGGTGGCCAACGGCCTCTAATTCGTTCAAACACACGGGCGGTTCACTTGAAAGTCAACACCAGGTGTGGAGTAGCTCTGTCCTATGGCCAACTAAGCGGCCGTGGGACGGGAACAAAAGCAGGGCAAACCCCAGCTATTCAGTGAAAATCTGGGGGATGCTTGGTCAGTGAAAACGTGGGAGATTTCTACAGCCGGTCACTTAAACATAGAGCCGAACAATGCGGATCACTGAAAGAAGGGTCCGGTTCCTCCTGGGTCTGTGCTTGTTTTGCGGATCATTCACTCAGGAACATGCCACCATTTTGCCACACCTATCGCTTGTTTTTCAACACGGCGGCACCCAAAACAGCCGTTGCCCCTCAACCAAGGAACATGGATGGTGAAACACATTTGGAAATACATGCTTCAAGAAAGCTGATCAATGCTTTCAGCATTGATGTCCAATATCTCCATGTTGGACACTTATTCCAGCTTATTGGATGCCATTGCTATTATAGGATATCATAGGTTGGAGGCCATCGTGGAGGTCATCGCTTTTAGGTTGGAGGCCATCGCTTTTAGGTTGGAGGCCGTCGCTGTTGTGCTTGAGAACCCCAACAACATTTCACACATTTTCCATAGCCATGATGAGTTCCACACCTTCGCGCGCGCTAGCCGGGGACGGTTGCCCACAGCCGGCAGCGTTCCTTGAAAAATCTATCCGCCCTGGCGGTGGGCTTTCAGTCTGCAGTTTTGCCTTGGACGAACAGGTGACACCTCTCCGCAATCACGTAGGTCAAGATCATGACCCAGTTTTTTCCACACCCTGAACACGTGTCCAATTTTTACATAAGTATTTTAATGAATAATTTACATTAATTTATTTATATATATATTTGTCCAACAAGCTCGAATCCACAAATGACCCAGCCAATCCCAGCCACAGGCCATGATCCATGCAAGAACTAGGGCCGAACAAGGGCCGGAGAGACAGAACTACTCAACCACTGTAGCTCGACAGCGGCCGCAACACGATACTGAAACTTACTGAAACCGAACCAAATCCCGAAAAAGAGCCTCATTTTGCCGGCTGTTCCGCCTTTTCACCACCATCCAACACTGAACGCCCCACTTGCCTGTCCCGACTTCGTTCCACCGTTTGGCCTCCACTCACCCGGTCGGTTCCACTCGACTCCGCGTCGCAGTCATCCGTCTGAGACATCGATGCAAAAGGTCCTCGGATCGTGCATGGCCATGCTTCGTTGACCAGCTGTGCTGGGCGATCCATGCGGCTGCTGAACAGCGAAGTATCCCTCTTCAGGGTCTGGTTAGAGGATTTGATTTCATCAGCTTTGAGTTCATGTTTGACCTCCTAGACATTTCTTCTCTTTGGAGTGCTGGGTCCACTAGCTTCTTTCCAGATTGGCGACTTGACTCTCATGAGACCTATCGTGTGGGCACGGCAGCCGAGCCCCACGAGACGGGTATCCCGGCCGCCTGGCCTGGCTTGCTCCGCTTCCAAAAGCGAGTCAGAACGATAAGTCTTGTCTTATCATGTTGTTTGACCAGGATGTCCTTTCGGCTCCCTTCAGCCTCCTTCAAAAGATTCGAAGGCCATGAAACTTCATGAAGTTCATCGGCCATGAAATCGAACAGCGGCCAAGCATCGACGCTCGAGCCTCATGATTCTTCACCTTTCTCTACTTTGCAGCTGATGAGGGTCACGGCCTCCGAGGCCACCTCGCTACTATCAGCCTGTTCATTTAAAGATCTTGTTGGCACCAAGAAATCTGTGGCTAAAATACATCACACCCACTTTTTTCGCCCCTCACCACCCACCCACCCACCCACCCACCCACCCACCATCCTCTTGTCCGCCCGAGCCACCCTCCGAAGTGCTTCCAGCGCTGGCGCTTCGCTCCTCATGCTCTTCGGGAAGCGCTCCGGGGAGCGACCGGGACCTCCTCATCAGTACAGTCTCGGTGGAGATCGGCTCCCAATGGAGAAAGGTGTTCCTCGGCCAGTCGCGAAAGGCAGGTGGCGAGACCGCCGAGCGGAGCGCTTCGCTGGGAGAAGGCCAAGAGTGTGATGTCCGGCAGATGTGCCCACAAAAGGTTTCGAAGATTTTTGGCCTACAAGAGAGTCCTGGGCAGGTGCTCTTGGAACAAAGTCACAGCACACCCATGCTTCCTAATTCTAAGTATTAAGAATAGATGCCACATGGTGCCACTGATGTTGTGCGATGCATGAAAACTCCATCCGATGTCTGTGCCCCAAAGCCCCGGTTAATGGCCCGGGTGTTGGTGACATGGGCCATGTGCTCCGCTACGTAAGTCAGTCGTGGAAGAACTCAACATGGAAGAGATGCATTCCAGATTTCATTGTGTTTCAACCATGCTGGAGGCCACTCAGCAAGTCAGTGACTAAAATCCAATTGGCCATGTACCCCTACGGCCCTACGGGTCATTCAAGACATGGTTCAATTAATTTTCCAGAACTTATTTTGGCCCCACATCTCTAGGCCCAACTCCATTCAGCCTGAACCGAACCAAAAAAATACACACACAAACAACTAACTACTTCATAACCACAGACTGACTGAACACATGGTGAACTTCACCATCACTTCACCTTACTATACCGTTTATTTACCAAAAACAAGATGGAGCCCACGAACCCGAATGCAAACACGTTCAAAAAGCTACATATGTCCAAATGACACTCTTGTAGGACACTCTTGTGGGACACTCTTGTGGGTCACTCTTGTAGGAAACTCTTGTGGGACACTCTTACGGGACACTCTTGTGGGACACTCTTGTGGGACACTCTTGTGGGACACTCTTGTGGGACACTCTAGTAGGAAACTCTTGTGGGACATGCGGGACACTCTTGTGGGATACTCCTGTAGGACACTCTTGTAGGACACTCTTGTGGGACACTCCTGTAGGACACTCTTGTGGGACACTCTTGTGGGACACTGTTGCGGGACACTCTTGTGGGACACTCTTGTGGGACACTCTTGTGGGACACTGTTGCGGGACACTCTTGTGGGACACTCCTGTGGGACACTCATTTGGGGCACTCTTGTGAGACACTCCTGTGGGACACTCTTGCAGGACACTCTCGTGGGACACTCTCGTGGGACACTCTTGTGGGACACTCTTGTGGGACACTCTTGTGGGGCACTCTTATAGGACACTCTTGTAGGAAACCCTTGTGGGATACTCTTGTAGGACACTCTTGTGGGACACTCTTGTAGGACACTCTTAACTCTTGTGAGACACTCTTGTGGGACATGGTTGCGGGACACTCTTGTGGGACACTCTTGTGAGACACTCTTACGGGACACTCTTGTAGGATACTCTTGTGGGACACTCTTGTAGGACACTCTTGTGGGACACTCTTACGGGACACTCTTGTTGCACACTCTTGTAGGACACTCTTGTGGGTCACTCTTATGGGACACTCTTGTCGGACACTGTTGTGGGACACACTTGTGGGACACTCATACGGGACACTCTTGTGGGACACTCTTGTAGGACACTCTTGTGGGACATGCGGGACACTCTTGTGGGACACTCTTGTGG